GTCCTATTTTATACAGGACTTTTCCTTCCTGCCCCTGTAAAAAGATTAGTTATCAGTCATAGCACATTTCCCATTGATCCTGGGTATTGCCTAAAAATCTTTCTTAACACAGTGCTCCAAGAAGCCACTACAAACCCGTTTAACTTATCTATCTATTGTGACATAACAAACCATCCAAAAATCTAGTGGCTTAAAACCACCACGTTTTAAGTATTAACAGATAATAGTCTCTCACAATCCTGTGGGTTGACTGGGATCTGCTAGATGGTTCTTCTATACCATGTAATGACATCTGGGCTGTGGCTCTCTGGGGGCTCAACTAAGCTAGAATGTCCTAGATGGCTTACTCACATGGCTGACAGTTGGTGCTGGCTTTTGAATGGGAGATCATCAACCAGAGATCAGCTCTTCTCCTGGTCTCTCTGTATCACTTGAGCTTATCATAGCATGATGACTGGGCTCCAAGAGAGAGAAAGTAGAAGCTGCCTGTCCCAAAACATCACTTATACCATTTTCTACCGGTAAAAGTCAGTAGCAAGGCCGGGCGTGGTGGCTCACACCTGTAATCCTAGCACTCTGGGAGGCCGAGGTGGCAGGATGACTTGAGGTCAGGAGTTCAAGACCAGCCTGAGCAAGAGTGAACAAATCTCTACTAAAAATACGAAAAATAGAAAAATTTTTAGTATCTCTACTAAAAATAGAAAAGATTAACCAGGCGTGGTGGCACATGCCTATAGTCCCAGCTACTCGGGAGGCTGAAGCAGGAGAATCACTTGAGGTTAGGAGTTTGAGGTTGCAGTGAGCTATGATGATGCCACTGCACTTTAGCCTGGGCGACAGAGTGAGACTCTGTCTCAAAAAAAAAAGTCAGTCACAAGTTCAGCACAGACTCAAGAGAAGGAAAAACAATCTCTACTTCTTAATGTGAAGAGCAACTTGTACATACTGAGATGAGAAGAATTGTTAAGAGCCAACTTTTGAGAGCTACTACATTCTGCTCTGTGACCACAGAAATTCACATTTTTTTCACGGGAAAAATATACTCTCTCTCCTATCCAAGATCTCCTAAAAGTCTCATCCTATTACAGCTATAGCCTCAGCTCAAATTCTAAAATTGTATTATCTAAATTTTAGCTATGGTTGCCAGTTTTCTCCTAATGTGTGGTCCCTTGTGTGCAGCTACTGAGGTGATTCCTCAAGTGCAAGGACCTGTTAATAAAAAAGATAAGCGCTATATTTCCTACGCATCCAACATACAACAGTGAAAATGGGATAGAATAACCACGGTAGGCACCCCTATTCATAAATGGGAGAGGAATATAAAAGTCACATAAAATTCACTAGTCCATCACAATTTTGAAATCCTCCAATTCCAAAGTCAGAGAATGTTCTTGTGGTAGGGCTCAGTTCCGCTCCCTGAAGTAGTTCTCCATGGTTCTTGGGTCTGGCCTCTGAGCTCTTGGCTTCATCCTCTGAATCATTCTTTTCTATTAGAAATGCTTTCTGTAGGGGGGAGGAGGGAGGAGGGGAGGGGTATTTGTATACACAAGGAGGGCAATGCGCACTACCCGAAGGATGGACATATTTGAAACACGGACTTGGGGGCGGGGAACCAAGGGCAACACACGCAACCTAAACATCTTTACCACGGGGAGGGCGGCGGGAGGAGTGGGGAGGAGGGAGGAGGGAACGGGTATTTGTATACACAAGGAGTGCAATGCGCACTACCCGAAGGATGGACATATTTGAAACACGGACTTCGGTAGTGGGGGAACCAAGGGCAACACACGTAACCTAAACATCTGTACACCCATAATTTGCTGAAACAAAAAAAAAAAAAAAGAAATGCTTTCTGTTTAAAGCTGAATAGCTTTCTCAACCTGCTTCCTGACCATTAGGGTCTCAGAGACTTCTTATTTTGAACTATGTCTGTCCCTTTCAGTCCAAACTGGGATAATTTATTTAATTTTGGTAGGTTTCCTATATACATCAAATTAAAATTCAATCCATTAAAAACATCATCCACCCATAATCTTTCCAAAATAAGTTCCTTTCTACCTTTGGCTGAAAGTGAAGATACTGTAGGAAAATGCCATTAACACCCTTGAAAACTATTTTGTTTAGCAGAGGGAGTATAGGAAACAGGCCTCTGAGATATTCTCCTATTTCCTAGCTAGGAGGATCTATAAGGCTCAAATTTAAATCTTACTAAGGTTTCTACAAAGGATCTTGCACCCAAATCTTTGATCTGATCTTGACCTCCAAGGCCATGTTTTCCTGCAATGATATGGAATTAATCACTGCCCTCAACTTTAATTTAGTTTGAAAATCTTTTGTAGGCTGGAGAGCCTGAGAATGAGAAACCATTTGATTTTCAAACTCAGTGTACCCTGGAATGGGAATGTCTCCTCTTGATTCTGCTCGAAAGCTGAATAGTCCCTTCTTTAATTTATCTTTTTCTGTCTGTACTTTATCTGGCACAGTTGAAAGCAATCGCTTGCCCTTTCAACATTCTGATAATTTTCTCAGGAAAACAGTGAATATATTTTTCTGTCTTCTATATTATTGCAGTACCACTTAATGCCACTACATGATTAGAATCACCTTTTCTCCTGTCTTCAGTACAATTCTCTTACTGTCATTTCAGCTTCCATGAATAACCTTCTTAAGGACCTTCTGGATTTCACTCATCACCTGGTCCCAAAACCAGTGCCACAGATTCAGGTTTTTGTTACAGCAATGCCCCACTTCTAGGTAAAAATAATTATTTTAGTAGTCCATTACTATGTAAAAACTACCCCTGAAGCTTAGCAGATTAAAACAACCACCATTTTTATTGTTTCTCACAATTCTGTGGGTCAGGAATTGGATAGAACACAGTAGAGATGGCTCATCTCTGCTCCTCATCTCTTCTGGGCCTGGATCATCCCAAATGGCTTCTTCACTTACATGTCTGGTGATGCTTTAGCCAGGATGGCTCAAAGAGCTGGGGGTGGCTGGAGTGACTTCCCTGTCCTGTGTCTGGAGCCTCAGTTCTCACTGGTGGCTGAGAACTGAGGCTCCCCAGTTCTCCTTCATGGAGTCTCAGGCTCTCTCCCTCTCCATGTGGTCTCCCTAGTGGCCAGGCTTCTTATATGGTAGCTCAGGGCTCCCCAGAGAAGAAAGCAAACACTTCCAGGTTTTCTTAAGGCTTCGGCCAGAACTGGCACAACTCCACTTCTTCCACATTCTTCTACTGGTTAAAGCAAATCAAAGGAGCAGCCTAGATTCACGGTGACACAATGGTGTGAATGCCAGGAGTGAGCCATTGGAGCCATCGATATAACAGACTGCAACACAATCCACTGGAATTGGCAAGGAAGATGAATTCTATTTGCCATTTCTGACCTTTTGCTAGACCTATTTGTTCTAGTCTCAAACGTATCGCAGCTTGAAAACAGATGTGCAGCATCACACAGTAACATTTCACATGCTGGCTCTGAGATGTCTCACACTAATGCATGTCCTCTTTGTCCCCTTCCTTTACCACTCACCCCCACATATGCCTTGACAGACTCATGTAAATTATTTGTGTTTGGTTTGGTTCCTTCACTCACGTTGCCCATAGGGCATTTGGGCAAACTCTTTGAGATTGCCTCAGCCAAACATTTGCTATTATAGCAGTTCCCATTTCTAAGAGGTGAACTGTTTGCACCAAAAATACAGAGCAGAGACAGCAGATAACCCCTGCCCACAGACAGAAGCACTTGCGTCTCATCTGTCTTGGGGTAAATGGCAACTGAAAGCTCAATTCTAGAATAAGATGTACGGAACATAGAAAATTTATCTACCAGAAGGGGTCTTGCCCAGAGTTAATGGAGGGGCTGCAGGAGTCCGTGAACCCCGCAAATTGCATGTCCAATTTTGGGTGCTCTTGCATTTTTCTGGGGGAAATATCCATTAGCTTTTATAAAATTATTAAAAGGGACTCTCTGACCCAGAAAAAGCTAAGAACCTGGTCTCACATAGAATTGCATCATACAATTTTTCCATCATTCAAAGCCAACTTGCAACTTTTATTGTCTTAAACCACATCTTCCTACATCAGGACGAAGAAGTGCAGGCTTGATCGATCTTAAATGTCAAAGGAAATGCAATAGAAATGCCGCTCTGTTATTCTCCACTGCATAATCTTTTTTGCTCCTTCTTTTTCTGTCCTCCACTTTCCCTTATTTTCTTTCTCTCTTCATATCCTTTTAGTCTAGCTCATCTCCTGTGTATTCTATTTTTTAAAATGTTCCAGCTATAACCCTGGGCATTTACTGTTTCTAACAATGAGTGGCCTGTAATAGATAGGATTTTATAGCTGGAAGAAATTGGATTATCTCATACACGTGGAGTGACTTAGTCTGAGATGAGAACTAGTAGGTTACAGTGAAACACTGGTGCATGTTTCCAAGTGCCCTAGGCCTCACTTGGAGATACACTTCCCCTTTAACAACCATAAGAATACAGTTGACATATGTTGTAGTAGATTATTTTAATTAAATTCTTCCAGTGATTTCCAGAAGCATGCTGTGTGGAAATATAAAAAATTTCTCCTGTAATTTTCAATTTTCTGTTCCTTGTGTATTTCCCAACTGAGACAGAGGAGGAAGAACTGATCATCCCACTATCACGGAGAAGTGCAGTTTCTTTACATGGGTACATCCATTAGTAGATATCAACTGTTCTTGCCAATCCAGTTCTTCCAAGCATCAAATGAACCAGGCACCCAGCTAGGTCCAGTGGTGGATACAAAGAGGAGTGAAACTGACTATCCATCTTCAGGTTGCTTATGGGCTAATGGAAGAAACTGATAAAAACATACATAAAGAGAGAGAGGCAATGGAGAATTAGACTGGAGGTCTAACATTCTCAGAGATAAAAGAGGAATGAAGAATTGAATTCTTATCTCACATATTTGCCTTCAGTTCCTTCTAGAACTCTCTGCTCTTGATATTTCTCCCTTGTTGCCTCTTCTAAATAAAGAAACCAAAAGAGTAAAAGGGAAAGCAGGAGAAGAGCTTCCCACACTGGCTCTTTGTCGTTTTTCCCTCTTTCCTTCCAAGCATTTGTCTTCCTCTTTCTGTTCTTTGGCCCAGGCAATGGGCACTGCCCAGTTCAGCTTCACCTGCTCTGGTTTCTCCCACAGCAGCTAATTTTCCTTCTCCACCACTCACCTCACGGGCACTCTTTCGCCCAAAGAATACAGGCTGTGCAGCTCATGTGTCCCAGCTCTGTGCTGGGCTCTAGAGACACAAAGATGAATCTAATCCCTGTCTAGAGAAAGCTTGTTTACAAAACTCTCCATCTCCTAGGGATCTATCTCGCCTCCATATTATGTTCCTTTTTTATTTCTCCTACTCTCTCTCTTCAGACTATTTTTATTTCCATCTCGACTGCTGTTAGAGGCCTCCTATGAGAAGGAAATTATCTATAATGGAACAGGAACATTAAAAGCCTCAGTTTCCTTGGAAATTATTGAACTCATGAGGGGTTCACGTTGGGTTTTGCATTTTGAGAACTAAGTTACAAGAAACTTTGTTTTTCTAACCAGATTGTTTTAACACTTGCCCTTTCTAGTTTTTCTTCAGATATTGTGTTTTAAACTTTAGGCTGTTAGAATTTTCTGTAAGCTCCAGGCAATGCCAGATTATGAAGGAATGCCTTTCCAAATCCCTAAACCCGAACTACATATGTCCAAGGTAGGAAGCCTGGAAGCAGCTGATACCCACATCTCTGTGTGGGCCTAACTGTGCTTGTGTGACAGGGTGCTGCAGAGAGGACACCCTGGTCTGAGGGATCTGCCTCTGTGCTGCCCAAGTTAAGGGGAACACCAATAATACTTATCAGTTTTTGATCATTTATTCATTCATTTATTCACAAATATATATATTCTGAGCACCTATTATGTAGTAGGTGTTGGGATTACGATGTTGAGCAAGACAGATCAGTTCCAGCTCCGATGGAGTTTTCAGCCCAGCTGGGAATATGGACAATCACATATGTGCAGTAATTGCAATAAAGTGTTCCACACGTTATGGCAGCACTCAGTGTGTCCCAGGCACTGCAGTAGGTGTGCTGTGTTCTTATTTAATGTTTGCAACATCCCTATGAGATAGGCACTATTAATCTCTCCGCTTGACATATGAGGAAACTAGGACTCAAAAATGTTAAATAACTTGCCCCAAATCACAGAGTTCTGATCCCAGATCTGTTTGACTCCATGACCAGAGTTCTTATCCACCACACTACAGCATCTCCCACAAAACTGAAACACGATGCCATGGCTGACATCGTAAACTGATCATGTCAGGATTGGGAAAAACTATAATGAAGCAGCGTTCAGTGTCTCAAGCTACTCATCTGCAGCGAGCTTGCTTTCGAGAGTTAGGAATAAAATGACAACATGCTTTAAAAAGGTCATTTTCTATGACCCCAACCATTTTCTAATTCTAGGAGTGAAAAGAATCCCGGCAAAATGAATAAAAATGATAAAAGAATTGTTTTTTTAAAAAAAATCCCTCATTTTCACAAAGGCTATATTAATATTTCCAATGCTTTGTCTGCAACCCAAGAATAAAAAGGAAAAAAATTATAATAAAGACTAGCTCCCCTTCTTAAGAGGAAGAAAGAGAGAGAGAGAGAGAGAAAGAGAGAGAGAGAGAGGAGAAGAGATGATACAAGCAACTGGAACCCAAAGTTTGTAAATGCCCCACACCTCACTCCCTGGAATATGATAGGATGTATTCCTACAGCTGTCATCTAGCAGGTCAGGGGAAAGAGGCTATTCTTTGACTTTACCTGGGAAGATTTTCTTTTATCAGCAGAAAAGGATAAAAGCTTAATTCTTGCAAAAGGAAGAGATCTCGAGAAAGTAGATCTAAAAAATAATCCACCCTGACCAAACTTGCTTCATAAAGAACTTTCTGCTACACACTGATCTGCAGTTTGTACTTGACATCTTATAAGAAAACTAGTGCATGGGCCATGAATTGGAATGTTCAGATTTTCATCCCAGGTTTGGAATAACCAACATGGTGACTCTTAACAAGTCATTTTACCTCCCTGGGCCTTGGTTTCCTCTTCTATAAAATGAGAGTTTACAGACTTTATAGCTCTCCTTCCAGCTCTAATAATTTGTGATTGTACTGCATGGACCCTAACTGGATAATTACTTGTCTGGATCTTCTTTCCAACAGATGCATTCCCATGGGAAACCAGACCCTCTGAGCGTTTATAGCAAGCCATATTTATGTCTCTAAGTAGGTGGGCCACCCAGCCCTAATGGCCTTTCTTATGCCAGGAGAAGTCTGAGATAGGGCAAAACTAAACAGAAAATTGAGTTAAAAATGGTTTGTGTAACTTCCTGACCTGGGAAAACAATGAGACTCATATCAACTGAGTCTGAACAGAAGAAAACAGAATATAATGATCTTTGTAAAGGGGATAACATTTTCAAAATAGTAATTCTTTTTATTTCTTACCTCTTCCTCTAAATTATGATTCACAGATACCACTCCACATCTTTTTTTTTTTTTTTTTTTTTTT